TTTTTTTTTGGATGTGATTAATCGCGATTAATCATTTGACAGCACTAGTTTTTGTTTTTTGGGGGGTTTTTTATGCTAAACTTTCTATTATGTGACAATGAAGACTGGAATAATAGCTGCTGAAAATTCAGCTTTGACATCAAATGAAAGAGTTACATTTTAAAATGTTCTTATAAATAGTTTTTAGTAGTGCGGTCAAACGATTAATCGCGATTAATCGCATCCAAAAGAAAAGTTTTTGTTTACATAATATATGTGTGTGTACTGTGTATATTTATTATGTCTATATAAAAGCACACACATACATGTATATATTTAAGAAAAATGTTATGTTTATATATTAAATATATTTATATGATATAAATTATATGAATATAAATATATACATGTAAATATTTTCAAAATATATGCAGTATGCGTGTGCTTATATATACATAATATATACATAATAAATATACACAATACACACACACATATTATGTAAACAAAAACGTTTATTTTGGATGCGATTAATCGCGATTAATCGTTTGACAGCACTAGTTTTTACTATAGTTTTTGATCAAAAATCTAGTCTTAGGAGACTTCTTTCAAAAACATTTTTTAAAAATCTTAATTATTCCAAACGTTTGACTGGCAGTGTTAAACAAAAGACTGACCTGCAGACTCTTTTTGCCGTAGGCTATTCCCCGTCCATAGATGGCACTGACCAGCTCAGGATCTCCCTGGTGACAGAGGACAGTTCTTTTGTGAAAAAGGGCTTATAAAAAGTTCACTATTACCACACAATCAACTTCTTGTTTAATACTACTACTCAACCTTAGTTAGGGTGTTTCTATTGATATTAATTTAACTGTATACAACTGATATACTAATATTTCAACATAAAATGGCCTTCACAACTTTCACTTCTAGAATGCGGATATAGGATATTCATTGCAAAAAAAAATAAAAAATACAAGCAACTTTATATCCAACTGAGTGGATCATGAAAAGGGTCCAATAACAAGGAAACAACAAGATAACCAAATGATTCAGCCATGTGACCTCAAAATGTGGCTCCTCTGAGCTGCACGTGAAACAGCCTGTGGTGCGTTCACACCGTGTCAGACAGTCTTTGCAATATTACTTACTATAGCAACATTATTAACGCTAAAAAGAATCAGTCTAATTTGAGTAATTAACAAAAAAAAACACAATACAAGAAGTAATAGTAGTGCAAATGGATTTTAATAAGCTTGTTTTATTTCTTTTTATATATAAAGCTTATTTATTTTATTTAAGAGCTACATTAACTATATTAAACTATATTTTATATCGTTTGATTACTTTCAGATTATTCTTGCATTTTTAAGACATTAACAGTAGTCGGTTGTAGGAATAATTAAAGGGATAGTTCACCCAAAAATGAAAATTCTGTCATTAATTAATCACCCTCATGTCGTTCCTAACCCGTAAGACCTTCGTTCATCTTCGGAACACAATTTAAGATATTTTTGATGAAATATGAGGGCTCTCTGACCCTCCCATAGACAGCAAGGTAACTACCAAGTTCAAGGTCCAGAAAAGTACCAAGATGATCGACAAAGTAGTTGGTTCAACTGTAAAGCTACGAGAATACTTTATTTTGCGCAAAGAAAACAAAAATAATGACTTTATTCCACATTTTCGTCTCTACGTTACTCACTTGTGGATGCCATGACAGTATCATGACGCGAGCGTGTGACGGCGCTGACCCAGCTCCGGCGTAATGACGGAATGTCATTATGTAATTTTTACACATGAAAATGTGTAATAAAGTCGTTATTTTTGTTTTCTTTGCGCAAAAAAAGTATTCTCGTAGCTTCGTAGCTTTACCGTTGAACCACTCATGTCACACGGACTACTTTGTCGATCATCTTGGTACCTTTCTGGACCTTGAACGTGGTAGTTACCTTGCTGTCTATGGGAGGGTCAGAGAGCCCTCAGATTTCATCAAAAATATCTTAATTTGTGTTCGGAAGATGAACGAAAGTCTTACGGGTTTCGAACAACACGAGGATGAGTAATTAATGACAGAATTTTCATTTTTGGGTGAACTATCACTTTAATTATTACAAGATTGGAGCTGAGTTTACAAGTAATTATGAGTTCTGCGAGGATGTGAATACTTTTAACAAATGGGAACTAATAAATCATGCGCAACAAGGCCAGAAACTTTAATTATGATGCTAAATGGGGGACAGCGTTGATTTCATGTTGATTTTAACATAAAAAAAACAATGTATCATTATTTTTACTTCAGTCCCAACAAAACTGACCTGTAGCAGTAATGAGAAGTGCTTGATAGCTTCATCATACAGGCCATTTCCAATGAGAACATAGCCAATGGCTGAAATAAACACAAAACCATGTTAACAGAGAACATCAACCAAAGACAAGCACAAAAAACACACTTGCCAAAGTCAAAACAATGAGCTGATACACACCAAGTTCTTCATTGGTATTTTGGTTTTCCACAGCGAAAGGAAACCGACGCTGTTCGACAAACAACTTTGCCTGATTCTGTGGTGACAGAAAGAGAGAAAGAAAAACATGTCAGGAAGTCTGTCAACCTCTAGCGATCAATCCAACCCACCAGTGCTTGCAAAAACCATGTGAAGAGACCCATAATTACAGAGGATGAGAAAAACACCTTTTTTTTTTTGTGCTGGATAGGAAGCGTTTTGGTTTAGGCTTGACACTCTTTTTACAGTGTTCTAACCCTAGTCCCTCACACACTTTATGACTTTCTTTCTTCAATCAAAACTCAAAAGGAAAAAAATATATATTATTGTACCAGTGTCTCTTTTTCATGCACTTAAAATGAATGGGGACTTAGCAACTGCAAAGAAAGAACAACATTAAAGCACATTTTATGGTGCTTTTTATCATTTTAGAGCTTAAAAGCCCCAGAACCCAGCCACTTAATCAATGTTCTTCAAAGGTTCTGTGTTCAAAAGAAAGCAAGTCAAACCGAGAGTAAATAAACAATGACAGCATTTTCATTTTGGCCTGAACTAATCATTTAACACAGTGCAATATAATGCAAATGCAACTCACAAGGATTTTCTCTGCATTGAGTGAAAAGATGGACTCGCAGGGCGGGTTGCTCCCCTCTTCACAGTCCGGATCCTCCAACTGCAGGATAGCTGACTCTGAGGGACCCAAAAACATTCACCGGATGTGACAGATAAAAGGCTAACCACATAACTTTGGCTTGAACTAAACATAATGAGTGTTGTTTTTCAAAACTGCTTTCTGACTGGCTTTGCTGCAGAACCCAAATCAAGTGGATACAGTACCAAATACAGTACCAAAACTCCATAATGCTCAGAAAATTACAAGTACCAAATGCAGTCTGGATTGTTTTTACTATGCATAGATTTGCCCATGGATTTTAAAGGGATAGCTCACCCCAAAAAAATTAATTTTTTTTTAAATAATTTTCTCACCCCCATGTTGTTCCAAGCTTGTATGAGCTTCTTTCTTCTGTTGAGCACAAAAGATGATTTAGAGAAGAATTTTGGTAACCAAACAGTTGACGGTAGCCATTGACTTCCATACTATGTAAAGCCCCATTGTAATGCCAAGCTACATACTATGGAAGTCAATGGCTACCGTCAACTGTTTGGGAACCAGCATTGTTCAAAATACCTTCTTTTGTGCTCAACAGAAGACAGAAACTCATACAGGCTTGGAACAACATGAGGGTGAGAAAATGACGACAGAATTTCATTTTTGAGTGAACTATCTTTTTAAGGATGCCTACAAACTTTTTTTATTTCGCCATTTGAGTAATTTGGCTAGCTGCTACGGAGCAAAAGATAAATCTGTGCCAACATACCAGAATGTCTGATTAAATGCACAACCTTTGACATCAACAATAATATTTATTTTGCTTTCTTGAATATTTGGGTATTATATAGTTAGCTGCACTATAGTCTTTTCCCTCTGCTTTTTATTATCTATACAATTTTCTTCATATCGCATCATACATCTGTATCCATAATGCACAAATTGGCTCAAAAAGCATGAAATGTGACCCTGGAGCACAAAAGCAGTCTTAAGTCGCTGGGGTATATTTGTAGCAATAGCCAACAATACATTGTATAGGTCAAAATGATTCATTTTTCTTTTATGACAAAAATCATTAGGACATTAAGTAAAGATCATGTTCCATGAAGATATTTTGTAAATGTCCTACTTTAAATATATCAAAAGTTAATGTTTGATTAGTAACATGCATTGGTAAGAACTTCATTTGGACAACTTTTAAAGGCGATTTTCTCAAGATTTTTTGTACCCTCAGATTCTCGGCCAAATATTGTCTGATCCTAACAAACCATACATCAATGGACAGCTTAGGGAAAATTTGACCCTATCATAAAATGGACCCTTATGACTGGTTTTGTGGTCCAGGGTCACAAATTACTTAAGCATGAAATTATTAAACAATCCACCAAATAATAGGTAACCTAACATAACCTAATCTCTTATACACTATAGATCACTTAAGTAAGTACATTATGTTCTTTCCTTTGGATCAAAACACAACCTGAAACAGAAGACCCAGTCACTACTGTAATTTGGAAAAATACTGTATTTACTTCCTATAGTTATTGTTACTATTGAAAACAGTGGACTCTTGCTAATTGTGTTTTCAAGTTACTTCAAAGAATACCACTATCGTCTCCAATCCCCATTGTAATGCATCTGCTAAAAGCAATCTTGAACTCAGTGACACCCAATAAAAATGTTCTTGTTGCATGTTTATTTAGCAATTAGAAGGGCATGCACGAGGCACCGGGGCTTTGCATGCATGATCCGCATGAGTTTCTGCATGTGTGGCATGAGTTGCTGCATGCACGATGCGAGTTTCTCCTGTATTGGTCTGAATTTCTGCTTGTATGATCCCGTCAAGCTCGTTTCACTGTAACGTTAAGCGGAAGAGAGTGAATCAGATGCACATTCTATACACCAGGACGTGGCAGAAGCTCACCGCAGTCCGCCGCATACTCCTCCCACTCGGCCGGAGAGCTGCAGCCGTGCTTGTGGAGGTCGCTGTTGAAAAAAGTCAAGGTGGAGAAATACTCGCTGGATAAAATAGCTCCGCATAAGTACAGCAGCGACAGAGCCGCCAGCACAACACCCCCGCCAGCAGGTGCCATGTTGTGAGTGATGTTATGATGAGCAGGTGAGGAACGGTGTAGTCTGGGTAATGTAGTTACGTGGAACTAAAGCAGTACTTCCAGCAGTGTTGACGGAGGATAAAAGAACTACATTTCCCGTGAGTAGCCTGGTAAGCCCCGCCTCTTATGGAGGTTCAGGAAGCAGTAGGCGTGTTTTAGTGCTGTCATATGAAGAATGGCACCGGGACTGTTTAAATGCGTCGAGTGTAACGAAGATGCAAACGAACTGCATCGAGATTATAGCAACGGAATACTGAAGATCACCATATGTGTGAGTGCTTCATAAAGTTTAGAATTCCAAGTTTAGTTTGTTTTCTCTGTGCTGTTAGCATGGTTAGCATGCTCACAACAACACAGGCCTGAGGTACTAATGCACAAAGTGAAGAGCACGGCAGTTTGTCACTGTTACTTCAGTAAAAGTAATTTATTTCTGTATTTATGTTTTTGTTTTTGGCTGGAAAAAAAAGAAACATTTTCACCATTATTGCCCAGAAGAAAAAAACAGAAGCAAAGAAAACTGTTCATTTACAGCAAATACGGTCCCGTTGCAAATTATTGTTATTGACGGCGAGTAAGTTACCTTTAAAAAAATATATATATATATAATAATAATTAAAAAACTCTATTGTCTGACGCTGTGAAGCCATCTTCCACGAAATATCTGCATTTGAAATATATTATTTTTTCAGCATAATGTAAGTACGTTATAAAACCCAAAACAAATACTTCACGAAAAAATATGCATATACAAAATCAGTGTTTTAGCTAACATGAATTGCTATTCATAAACTGTCGTTCAAAATTGAAACTAACTGATGTGTGTTTTCTCTCTACAGAGTTCATGCAAGAAGCCCGTTGACAAATACATTGAATATGATCCAGTTATTGTTCTGATAGATGCCACTTTATGCAAAATCCAGGCCTTTAGACATATCCTCTTCAACACTGAGATCAACGTAAGTAAAACTTGTATACTCAGTTTTTTAACAGATTTGGGGGAAAAAATGCATACTGGAGTATACTGCGTGCCGAGTACAGACAGTATACATAGTATAGAAAGTATTGAGTTGTGAGCACAGCCTCTGTTCCTCTCTCTGTAGATCCACTGGAAACTGTGTGTGTTCTGTCTGCTGTGTGAGGCGTATCTGCGCTGGTCCCTCCTGCAGGGGTCCCAGGCCAGCAATGACCCCGCTGATATCATCCGTTACACTAAAGAGTGGGAGTTTTACTGCATGTTTGCACTGGCTGCACTGGGTAATTAGAATTATTCAAATGGACTGATTGAGATGTTGAGTAACGACGTAGCTTATGAAAGATTTAGGGTTTGTAGTCTATTTTTTCTTCACTGTGATCTGTTGAAAGGTCTATTCTGACTGCTCTGTAGGCTTACATTACCATTGATGATAATGTTTTACGGGAAAGGGTTAGTCCCCGTTAATTCCCTTTAAAACAATCTAAACATTTAGAATAAAGAAAAAAGTTTTTTACAGTACATAAACTACTGCTCAAGAGTTAGGGATAGGTAGGATTATTATTATTAATTTTTAAGAAGTCTGTTATGATCACCAAGGCAGAATTTATTTAATTAAAAATGCATATTACAATTTAAAATAACTATTTTCTATGGTGGCCGAGAAGTGCAAAACCAAGTTTTCAATTCTGAAAACAAAATAACAAATTACAAACGCAAATGCAAGTCTAAAAAACAAAATAACAATTCAGAAAACACAACGACAGATCAGACAAACCGGAAGAGGTATGTATAATTTGAGACAGCACCATTGGTTTGGGATTACTCACCGCTGACTGGACGAGACATCTGTCAATCACCGTATACAGAGAAGAACCAGCCGAAGAACAGCAGAGTCGTGGTAGAAAGTTCGGAGATGGTATTAATCAAAAAGCCAAGGGCATGCACTTATCCATCTACACCACTGGAGCTGATGTTCTATAGCCACTTTTAACTAAATCGAAATAGACACCCCTTATTTTTTATTCCAGAGTAAGGGCAATTCATACAATACATTTAAACTGAGCTACTTTAAAACCATCTCCGAACTTTCTACCACGACTCTGCTGTTCTTCAGCTGGTTCTTCCTGTATATGTTGATTGACAGATGTCTCGTCCAGTCAGCGGTGAGTAATCCCAAACCAATGGTGCTGTCTCAAACTATACCTACCTCTTCCGATTTGTCTGATTTGTCGTTGTGTTTTCTGACTTGTTAATTTGTTTTCTGAATTGTTGTTGTGTTTTCTGAATTGTTATTTAGTTTTTTAGACTTGCATTTGCGTTTGTAATTTGTTATTTTGTTTTCAGAATTGTGATCTGCTTTGCACTTCTCGGCCACCGTAATTTTCTGTTTAAATATATTATCAAATGTAATTTATTCCTGTGATGCAAAGCATCATTTCTCCAGTCTTCAGTGTCACGTGATCCTTCAGAAATCATTCTAATATCCTGATTTTGTGCTTATAAAAACATTACTTATTATCAATGTTGAAAATTATTTGAATTTTTTTATTTGAGATTCAGAACAGCTTTTATTTAATTTTGTTTGATTTATCTGACTTTTTTTTGTCTTTGCTGTCACCTTTTTAAACAGTTCCTCAGTGTAAGTGTTATTTTCCTTAAAAATATAATCGGATTTGTTCTTTTACATTGCATTATTTTCTTACTGTAATATAGTAGAATTTTATTACATTTGTGAGAATGTCTAGAATAATGAGAATGGGGGAAAAAATCCAAAATTAAACATGTGGATGCCATGTAATTGTCATGAAAATAATAGCACCCTGATAAAAGAAACCTTAATATCGTTTTCATTTAGCAAATTATCATTATTATATATGTACTACTCTTATTGTAGTTGCAATACAGTAATTAGAAACTGAGAATATGTTTTGCACTTTAGCATAATGAGAATTTGGGAGGAAATGTACATTATCATTAAAACAATGCAGAAATTCTCCCGTGTTCTTTGTGTTTTTCTAGAGTTGGCCGTGTTCTGCATAGGTGTGTTGTTCATTCTCTGGACGGCGCAGCGCTGCTGTGGTTGCTCTCTAGAATTCACTCCACTGTTGAAGGCACTTCTGCTCTCCAGCTACGGCAAAGTGCTGTTAATCCCAGCTGTCATCTGGGAGCACGATTTCTCCCCGCTCTGCTTCAGCCTAATACGACTGTTCGTCCTGACCTCCAATTCACAAGCCATAAGAGGTGAATATCAACTTTTATGGAGTCCATACACGTTAAACACACTCACAGGCAGCGGCGTGTGAGAGTGTGTGTCTGTGTGGTGTGTGTGTGTGCGTCTGTGTCTGTGTGGTGTGTGTGTGGTGTGTGCATGTATAGATACATATGCATATACATACATACACACTATTTTTGAAAGATCATTTAAATGAATATATATTTGTTTTTCAGTGTATGGAGTGGAAATATTCAATCCACACTGAATAGATTTTGTCATATGAAGATTGTTACACTATGACTAAATGACTAAACAGGTGTGTGTGTGTGTGTCTGTGTGGTGCGTGTGTGTCTGTGGTGTGTGAGTGCGTGCGTGTGTGTCTGTGTGTGTCTGTGTGGTGCGTGTGTGTGTGTGGTGCGTGTGTGTGAGCGCGTGTGTGTGTGTGAGTGTGTGTCTGTGTGGTGTGTGTGTGAGCGCGTGTGTGTCTGTGAGTGTGTGTCTGTGTGGTGTGTGTGTGTGTGTGTCTGTGTGTCTGTGTCTGTGTGTGTGTG